ATCCTCTCTCCCTCCAGGTGGCTATGGTGTGACCTCACTACCATATAGGAGCAACAAACCCAGCTGAACATAAACTGAAAACCTCTGAAACTGAGCCCAAACCATTCTTTCCTCGGGAATTTTGGCACAGAGATGAAAGTCAGATTACCACTAGACACAAATGGACACAGCAAGTTGTCAACGGGCAGGCAGGAATCCGATAGGTCAGTGACCTTCACCATGACTTGTGGGTGCTTGGAAAGAGAGTCTAACACCTAAGATTATAGCAGTAAAGCCAAAGCTGCCCAGGCCTCATCCCTGCCCTTACAGACAGAAGACGCATTCTGGTTAACCCTGAAAATGACAGCCACTTTGCACAAGGAAGCAAGAATTTGTCCCTGTCCCTGTCCCTTGTTTCTGCTTGAGGAAGCAGCCAGGAGCCAACAGCCTGTTTTCTTTTCATTTGCTGAGTAGCTATGAAGTGTCCCAAACTGGATTGTTGACCAGACTATGCTGAACTGAGATTAATGACCTTTGAGATTCAAAATGGAGCAAATTCGACTGTGTCAAGTCTGTCTCTTAGTTATCTCTATACCAGTCTCCTGTCCACATGACCTGCTCTGAGGCTAGGCCCTAATAGCCCGTCCCTGGGCGATTGCTCCTTTCTGGTCTTCATATCTGTGAAGTCTTAGATACTTCACTGTATACAACGAGGGGAAGCAGAGATTTTTAGAGTGTTAAGTGTCCAAACTTTCTCTGCTAATTAAAGTCCTTCAGCAGGTCTTTTTTGCTCTCCAAATAACCCATCAATCTAAGTGACGGCATGGTGTGGCTGCTACCTCACCTCCCTTGTAATCATCATATCAAATATCCTGATGCACAGACTGCCTTGGAGCCATTTCTAAGGTCATATATGTAATGCAATTCATTCCAATAATGCCCCCTACATGCTTTGTGTAGGTAGCTGGCTGTGGGTGTGCGCAGAGCTACGCAGGAGGTAAAACTGGCATGTTAGGGAGCACTGGCTGCCTGAGCACACCACAGCGTATAGAGTGCCTTCCTCTCTCTTTGCATTCTTACATAAAACGGCACTGATGTTCACAGGGGGCACATTAACAATTAGAAGAAACAATGAGGCATTTTTCATCTTGAAACAAATGTAACAGGTAAGCCATGTTTTAATAAACATTACTGACCATGTTGAACGAGATGTGGAATTAAAGACTACAAACAGCTTGTACTTGGGTCTCGTGGTAGAGCAAACGACCCAGCATTGAAAACTGCTGATGAATGCCACCAGATTGCAGGATGACTGAGGAATGTCCAACAAGTCGGGCAGATGACTTAACATCTCTCATCTGCCTAAAACAGGCCATGCCAGAGTGCCTTAGGCCCTCTTTTGACTCAGTTTGGGCATTTGCCCTGATTCTGGCTACACAACATCCCCTGTCCACTCTGGTCCCCTCTGCTGTCCTCTTAATTCTTCATCCCTTCCTCTTCACATTTATTTCTGGGTCCCACTTCTTTCAGTTCTGAGCTGAATGGAGCAATAGAAGAATAGAAAATAAAGCCATGCTTTTTAAATCACATTTGTAAAACCTCCTGCCTTACCTAATACCACAGATCAGCAGGGGTTCACCACTAGAGAAAGCCAGACAGAATCTCCTTAAACATGACACAGCTTCCACACCCCACCACCTGCCAGAAGGTCACTCTGAAAGCATCGGGGTCTACAGAACTCACAAGAGAAGCTACCCCGGGTCAAAGCCCTAGAAAGCCAGGATTTCATTTCCTGTACAGAGCCTTGAGAAACAGGCTTGGAGTGACCAAAAGGCATAGTTGAGCACCCCCCCAAAAAGGTGACCCAACATGTCTAAAGTTCCCACAGCTGAAGGAAGTGTTTCTCTGGTCCTGGAGACTAGGCTGTGGTCCCCAACCCTAAACTCAACCTCCTTTGCTCAACCACAGGGAGTTAGGAGCATGGTATTACTCAAAGGTCCCACAGGTGTCATGTTTTCACACTGCGAGCTCCCTACAAATATCTCAGCCTATGTTTCCTACCCTTCTTGAGGCCGTCCTCCAGCCCCAGTAGAATGACAGAGTCCTAATTTTCTCAGGTTTTCTCTCTTCACCTTAGAAAGACCCTTCCTGGGACACAACTTCTGCCAGGCCCAGTGCAGTGCCCCTCTGTGCCTCCAGACCTGGGCCCACTCCTGTTTGAACACTGACCACTCTGACAGGAAATGTGGTCATGAGTTCCCTTGTCCATGCAGTCTCTCGTCACAAGATTCACCGGTGGCATTCTCATACACATAAACTTTTATATACATAGATGCTCACTTTAGACCCCCAGGGATCACACAGTCACCTGGTTATAAGTGCAAACAACAGGAACCCAGGACATCCACGTTGCAGGGTTCTGAGGAAAGACTACCTGACAATAGGGATTTCTTGTGTGGGAAGTGAGGGTCCTAGCCATTTGAGGGCTAGGATTGCAGGAGCCCAATTGCAGCTACTGTGCTGGAAAACTGCTGCCTGTGGGAAGCGCACTCTCCCCTCTTCCCTAGCCAGCAGCCTCCACTCTGTCCCTTCTTCACCGAGAAAATGAATCGACATTGTAACTACATAACTACGAAGACGCTGTTGTCCCGCGCAGCCACATCTGACTTCTGAATCTAAACAAGTGGCCCTCTTTGCTGAGGAGTGGGACATGCATGAGCCCCCAAGTGCGAGGCTGGTCCAAGAGACCCAGATGGCACATCACGGTGATGCAGAGGCCCTGTGTGCCAACGGGGAGGCCAAGAGCAGTGCTCTACCTGCACTGTTCCTGAGGACGGGAGCACTGCACTGTCCCTGAGTGTGCGTGAGGACGGGAGCACTGCACTGTCCCTGAGTGTGCGTGAGGACGGGAGCACTGCTCTATCCTCACTGTCCCTGAGTGTACATGAAGACGAGAACACCACACCATTCTAGCTGCATTATTGCTCAGAGGAATGGAATTTTCCTAGAATCGCAGGATCACAGAAGAACAGTCTCATTAACTTATTAGGTAAACGATGAGTAGGAAAAGTCCTGAGGGCATGTGAGAGCATGTGAATGGGTCCATTCCAACACAACCCATGTCCGCCCCTGCTACATAAGTCTTAAGGACAAGGCCCAAGTTCAGTACTGGACACTTATCAACTCTCCCTAGAGTTAGAAAAAACATCAGCTTTGTGCACAAGTTCAGTATATGTTAGTAGTAGATATGTTACATTTTTTTTAAGTCAAGGTCTCACTGTGTAGTGCTGGCTGACTTGGAACTCAATATATAGACCCAGGTGACCTTAAATTCACAGAGATCCACCTGCCTCTGCCTCCCTGGTGCTAGGATTACAGGGCCCAGATAGATATGCTAGCTTTGTTAATCATTTCTTTTCAAAAGTTGTACAAGCCTATTGCATAAAAGATCTATAAAGCCGGGCGGTGGTGGCGCACGCCTTTAATCCCAGCACTCGGGAGGCAGAGGCAAGAGGATCTCTGTGAGTTCAAGGCCGGGCTGGACCGATAGCCTCCAAAACAATACAAAGAAACCCTGTCTCGTAAAAACCAAAAAAAAAAAAAAAAAAAAAAAAAAAAAAGGCAAAGCGTAAGGCTACTATTGCTCAAAGAAAATTTTAAAAATTACTATCCATTTAAGGCCTCACCCTCACTGGGAAGCAGAAAGGGGATGGGACAGGGGGTCTGTGGGGGGCAGGGGAGGAGGGGAGGGAGAGGGAACTGGGATTGACATGTAATACAAGCTTGTTCCTCATTTAAATAAAAAAAGAAAAATTACTATCCATGAATGCTATTATAAAGCAAAAAGTAGAGAAGTCATAAATCTTTACCTCAGAAGATAAAATATAAAGGGATAAGGAACACCTTAAGTGAGCTTTGTGGCTTTTACATTTTGACCTGACTGTAGAATGTGCATTTTTATCTCTTATTGATGTATAGTTGGGGAGGGAATTTAGGATTAAAATGAGATACAATAACAAAATAAAGGCACACTTGTTGGACATATCAGATTCTAGAAGCTGGGTTCCACATTTCATGACTAGGAAACCAACACAGAGCCCATGACCTCAAATAGCAGGTACATTAATTATGCATGACACAATGCAGAGGTGTCCTGCTTTCTGTCACTCATCAGACTCATTAAGACCAACCAAAGAGGAAATGGAACATTAGAAGGGGTCTTCTTAAAATGTAATTTCCTACTATAGACATTTATAAGCTGCACTCACTCCCCATTAGAGTGTGCCTAACCCTTTTATTAGTGTGTTCAGTAATGCAGCCTGGGTTCCAGGGCAACTCTGGGCACTGACAAGTCACCAGGCATGGGATTCCCTAGGGGATTTCTGCTCCTGTCCTAGCCGTGTTTTCCAGATCATAATGGAGTTAACAGATGCTGCACTGGTATATTTGCCTGGAGGTTTTTAGGATTTTCCCCACGAGGCAATCTACAACCCACACCCCCAAGGGCTCTATGGATATAAAGTGAAACAGCTCAAATAGACTTAGGAAGGAAATGGTTTTTTGTTTGCCATATGAGGTTCGTGATTGCCTGTCGAGGAGCATTGCTTCTCTTGCCTTTATGGCCAAGTTCAATCTCTTGTTTAGTAGTAACTAAAGGGGCATTTAAGACGTGGCAGCAAGGACATCCCAATCAATGAGCAAATACATCCTTCATCCATGATGCACCTCTCCCATGATGCTTAAGTTGCAACCTCACTGGTTGCCCAGATACCAGTCATGTGACCTTGCCAGACTGTATCTTCCTCCCCAGATCATAACCACATCTCCCCTTTCCTCTTATTTCTCCCTGGCCCTGCAGAAGAGAACAATGCAAGGCCCTCCTTTAGTAGGTTCGCTCTCCAGTTCTATGACTGCTCTTCCCACGACTAACACAACTCTACTGTTTTACCACGGTAAAAGCAAGTATACTTGATATTTACAACCTGGCCCTCAGGAACCAGAAAGGGGCAGGGGAATCTTACCTTGTCTTAAGGATATTCAGAAACTGCAAAATTTCTGAAAACTGTATCAGTCTGAGAGCTCTTAAAAATCTCAGGCCTGTAAAGAGAAACAGAACAGGGGGTTATTTCCAGTGTTTAGATGTGAGGCTCACAGCCTGGGTCATGGTCACTCACGTCTGTTGGAAGGGCTGCGAAGGCCCTGCAGAAGATGAATGCTCCAGTACCTTGGGCCTCCTGCTTCATTTTGATTCTCCACTGGCTTAATCTTGGCTGATAAATGGGCTTTCTTGTTCAATATGAACTGTTTGAAACCAGATTAAGGGGTTGAGCCAGAAGAGAGGGCCCACTTTAAGGGGGATACTCTTCCTGGTGACCCCCGTTGAAAAGTCCTGTTTCCGAGCTACCCAGTGGTCTGGCAGAATTGGGGTTTCGGAAAAGTACTGGGAACTGTGTTCACTAAGGATAACCCTTGTGCTTAACAGCAGATTAAGAATAAATCGGATCACCTTATGTCTCTGATAATTTTTTTAATCTTTATTTTCAGCGCCTATAAAAAAAGACTATGGCCCAAAGAGCTACCCATGTTCTACAATATTTTATATTTTCTCCCAATTAAAAACAAAATAAAAGAGAAAAATAAGCACAGATCAGTAAGCTACCACAGCTCACAACTTCAGGATTCAAAAGTTTAATAGTTCTGTTTCACTGATGGCCATGGTTTTCTACCTGTAGTCTCTCTTTAATGAAAGAGTTACAGCTTCTAAGTGGAGAGGGACAATGATCAATGAATTGTTTTAGGTTTTATTTTTCAGAACCAGGGTGTCATGAGCCAGGTTGGTCATAAAATAACTATAGTAAGGGCTGTCCTTGAACTCCAGATCCTCCAGCCTCTACCTCCCAAGTGCTGGGATTACAGAGATGTTCCACCACACATATCCAGCTTTTTCTTTTGTCTCTTCTTTTCTTTCTTCAAGGATCACTCTATTTCTGTCTAGTTCAAAGTCAGGTGATAAAAAAAATACTCCAAATTACCGGGCAATGGTGGCACACACCTTTAATCCCAGCACTCAGGAGACAGAGGCAGGCAGATCTTCTATGAGTTTGTGGCCAGCCTGGACTACAGAGCAATTTCTGTGACACCCAGGGTTATACAAAGAAACTCTGTCTCGAATAACAAAGCAACAATTCAGAATTAGTCATGGGCTTTTACACATTTACCACTACTCTGGAGAACTCCTCGCCAAATGCCACCAGCAAGCTTCGGGCACCCAATCCCCCAGGGATTTTGTCTACCAGACTTTCAGGAACACACCAAGTGCCAAGTGTAGTACTGAGCAGTGAGCTGAGCTGACTCTGTTCCCTGCAAGGGAGGCAGGGAAGGAAATCTAATTTGCATGGTGAGACTAAGCAAGCCTTAAGATTCACTAGAGACCCCCTAGGGTGAAGCCTGGGTACATCCTCCTTGAACAAAAGTGCTCTAACCGGCACGGTGTAGAACTCTTAATAACAAGTAAAAATTAACCTACAGTCCAGGGGTAGGACTGCCCGACTCACTAAGGAGGAAGGAGAAAATGCTAATGACTCAAAGGCAACATTTCTCATCTGAAAAGAAGTCAACTTTGTGAGCAAGAGATGGTGTCCAGAAAGCATATTAGTACTTTGCTAAATGATATTTATATAGTTGTTATTAACCCAAACAGGCAGACATGAGAATGGAGGTAGGCGAGATGAAAGAGGCCGGGAAAGCTGAGGACCCAGTCATATCAGACTGACAGGAGGCTTGATAACACAGACAAAAGCCCAATCTGAACAGACTCTGCCTCAAAGCGGGACACACACACACACACACACACACACACACACACACACACACACACACACACACACACACAGTGCTAAACAGCAATGGAGAGGAGACCAGGGCGACCCGATGGGGGAATAAAAGGCAACTGCAGACAACAGAAGCTGTAGCCAGAACACAACAGAGGAGAGCTGTCTAGAAATGCAAACAATGGTTTGTGATTAGAAGAGCCAAGATGTACCCGCCTTTTTTTGTTTTCAAGTATTCAGTTAAACACAGAGTAGAAAGCACCAGTGTTGGGGTGGATATTGAAACAGGAAGCGCCAAATGCTATCTTTTGAATCTTAAGTGTCCTCTAAAGCTCATGTGCCAAACGCCTGGTCCCTGGCACCAGCAGGAAGTGGTGGGACAGATAGGGCCCTGGGACTATAAGCCAGACCATTAGGGGAATGCTCTAGAAGGAGATGTCGGGATCCTAGCCTCCTCTTCTCTCCCTTCCATTTCCCAGCCCCACGATGCGAGCAGCTTCATTCCACCACGCACTATTCACTGTTTACTGCTCGCGGAAACCTCCATGCTTACCAGCCCAAACCCATCTTTCCCACGTCTCAGTTGTTTGTCTCAGTCGACACAGATGAAAAACTGACACAAGTAACACTTGGGCAACACTGAGAAGTTTAACAGCGTCTGGCCTAATGTTTAACAGTGGCTCAAGCAGCTCAGAAAGACTAAAATCCAGAACAACGAAAACATCTTCAAGTACCCCATCTTTGTTGTTTTCTTGGACTGTGAAAATCAGTCCATCAATCGATCGATCAATCAATCAACCGATCAATCAGTCAAAGCCATTAAGTCAGGTCAGAGGTTAAGGATTGGAGAGCACAGTTGCAGACTTCGGGCCATTCAGTGATCTCATGGCTCCACGCCATACAGTGACAGGTAGAGAACTTGAAGTAGCCAGCTGGGATAGAAAAGCAATGTGGCTGCTATTCCCAGTTTAGCTACACACATGCTCTAGTCTGTTTATATGCACAGATGGGTGTGTGTATGCAGGTACATATGCATGATTTATGGAACCAAAAATAGAATATCACTTCCCTAAACTTTGATCTGAATTTCTTTTATTTTATTTTAAAATGCTGGTGTTTGCAGATTGCCACACTCTAACAAACATATAATACAATAAAGTGTTTTCTCCAGTGGAGGTGGGTGAATATGAAGCTAGGCATACAGGGAATGAGGGGGTATGACGGTTAGCATTAACTGTCAACTTGACACAAATGTAGTCATTTGAGAAGAGAGAACTCAGCTGAAGAAATGCTCAGATCACACTGGCCTGTAGCCATGTCTCTAAGGCATTCCATTAATCGTGAATTGATGTAGAAAGACCAGCCCACTGTGGGCAGTACACAAGTGGGCCTCGGATGTCTAAGAAAGCAGCAGCATTCCTCCATGGTTACCGCTGCTTCTTTGAGCTCCTGCCTTGGCTTCCCTGGATGATGAACTATAAAGTATGAACACTTTCCTTGCTAAGTTTCTTTGGGCCATGGTGTTAACGACAACAACAGAAAGCAAACTAAGGCGTCCTATAACCTTGTTAGGGAAGTCCGCTCAGCTAGCTCTGGGTGTCTCCCTAACAGGAGATACCCAGAAGACCGTGCATGGCCAACAGAGTCTGGGGATAAAAAGGTGGGCACTTGGCTCTCAAAGAGGTTTTCCTGGAATGGAGACAACAGGAAGGCATCTCTCTGCTAGAGGGAATCCGGCACTGTGTGACAAAGAGCTGAAGAGAAAAGCGCTTGTTTCTTTGATGGCCTCTAGGGGTCACTGTCTTAACATTGAGTCTTCGCTAACAAAAGAGGAAAAAAAGGCCAATGTTGGTCTGCAGCCTAAACCCTTCAGTCCATAGTTCACAACAGTTTCCTAGTGACTTCTAACCTGGAGCCCTTGGGGTCTCTGCTCAAAACTCACCCTTTATACAGAGAAAATGTCACTTAAAGTGACCCTCTCTCTCTCTCTCTCTCTCTCTCTCTCTCTCTCTCTCTCTCTCTCTCTCTCTCTCTCTCTCTCTCCCCTTTCTGTACATGAATGAAATGTAATTACCTTGCTCTTTCCTCCATGCCTTCTTTGCCCACCTCCACCATGATGAACGCTATGACTCCAAACTCTAAGCCAAAACAAACTCTTACGTTCTCCAAGCTGATTCCTGGTCATGGCATTTTATCACAGCAGCAGCACGGTAACTAACACACATTGCTCTCGACCTATCACATGCTCTTTGTATTATTTATTTGTTTCAGTCCTTCTGTATGTATACATACGTGTATGGTGAATGTATGTGTGAGAGGAGGTGTGTGTGTGCCACAGCATGAAGATCCCTGTGGCTTGAGGGCCAGTCAGTCTAGCTAAATCTGTGAAAGTCAGATTCAGTGAGAGACCTTGTCTCATAAGCTAAGGGAGACATGCACACACAACACACTGAACATATAATTATATTGCCATTTTAACTCTTAGTAAAATGATAATATTAAAAATAAAGCAAATTTGTATTATTGATCACTGCTTTAATTATGTTCTACATATGAAAAGTCATATCTTTTAAATCTATACAACAGAAGAAAATAGCTAAGGATAGTGTGTCTGGCATACTACATATGTTATACATTATCCATACACGTGTAAGCAACAGGGCCGGATTTTACACTCAAATATGTCAAACTGCACCCAAACCCCAGACTTGAAGCCACTACCCTGAACAGACTATATATTCCAGCTCCAAACTGGGCTCAAGGGGGTTGTGTCAGTTTATTACCATTGGGCAAAAACATCATGGAGACAATTGGTTTTATAAAGAAAATGCTTATTTTGGCTCAGTTTCAGAGATCTTAGTACCTGGTTCTTAATGTATGTGGTAGAGAAAGCCTATTCAGATGTCTGTGTGTGTTGTAGCATGTGTATACACATGTCTATGGAGGTTAAAGGTGGACAAACATGTTAGCTTCTGCTCAAGGACTCAGTTTTGCTGCAAATAATGTAAAGACAAGCAGGCGTGGCTTTATTGATGTGAAACTCCTTTAAGAGAAATAGACCATGGGAATTCGTTGCCTACACCTGCTTTGGAGGCATCCCAGTCTGACACAGTCAGTGCGGGGGTCCCCCGGACATGGCAGGTGTCCACAGTCAGGTTGGAGAGGGGCCTGGCTCTCTGCATTCAGAACTAGCTCTCAGCTGAGGTAGGACTGTGGCTCGGGAGACCACACGGAGGAGACAGCATGCAGGACAGCAGTCCTACACCA